GACGACGAGGTGCACGGTGTAAACTATTCCAATGCATGAACAACTTAACTATGCATTAAAGTAGCGAAAAGGTTCATTAAAACATTCATGCTGGCGTTTTTTTCAATACTTCTTTCATTCAAGCATCTCCACCATTCCCCCAGAGCTATGGAAAACAATGAACTTGCTAACCGCTATTGCATCCATAATAGCGGCATCACACTAAGTAACCAGAGAAAAGTGTATCGTACACGACCAGTGGCAAAACAGTTATTGTTAAGATCGGACAATCCTTTGGTGGTTTTCCTCGGCGTTATGATTGTAACCTTATAACCTTATTCCTTTCCAATGACATCGCATGAATGGAACGTCTACTACAAAATCAAATGGATGGAAAAGGAAATCTAAGAAAGCCAGGCAAAAGAAAACCCTTATCACAACAATTGCAGAGAACCAACTGCACGGCAGAGTGTCGAGGAACCCCCTACAGGTTATTTGATTGTCGCAGAAAACACCAACAACTTTTTTCGCGGAACCAAAAGGAAACCATTGCTGATGTTTACTGTCGTCGATGTTGTTCTTGTTTTTTTTTTATTGTTGTTGCTGGTCTTTGTTAATGTCAGCGTGTTAAGTAATAGCGGTATTGTTTAATAACAAGTACTTTGATGACCACAATGGGCGTCGGATGTCTTAAAAAACAAAAGCAAAAGATTTACAGAAACATCACGAAATGTGTGTAAACTTCAAATTGTTTGCTTGGTGCATTAGTGGAAAAGGCTAAGCGGAGACATGGGTGTGTATGTCTGTAGCATACCTACGTGTAAACACATATGTGTAATTTGACATTTAAATTTGTCAAAATAATGGTGGTGGTGCAATGAAGAGAAGGTAGGCTAAAATAAAACAAATGCAGCAAGTTCTCTATTGTCAAAAAAAATGTTGCATTAATTATGCGCTACACCACAAGGTGGTCTAGGTATTATGTCTTTGTGCATTGGTTTGTAACAGGTAAAAGGAAACGAGATAGACCCATTGTTCCGTCTGACGATCTGCATAGAATCACATTCTGAGTCGAATTATGCATGACCGTCCGAAATCGGTTCATATATAGCTATAGCTCCCATATATAATGCTCATCCGATTTGTTAAATATATTCTCCACAGCCGTAATATGCATTCTGTAACAACGACATTCGTGGAAATATATCAAATACGTCTCAGAAATACCTTTGTCAAGTTTTATCGAGATCGGTTCAGATTTGGATATAGCTCCCATATACATCGTTATCCGATTTCGAGTTAATTGTGCACCAAATGGGCATGTTAAGCCAAGCAAATAATAAAAAAAACATTAAAATCGATTAGTCTCAGTGCCTTATCTTGATTTCATTTTGCCATGGTTAACACATCTTTTAAATTTAACAGAGCTTCTTATATTAGCCTCCAACAGTTTGGAATGTGGAGAACGATGTATTGTCGGTGAAGCTAGAAATTTGCACGAGGGTTTTCGGAAATTCGTACTAAAATGACACGAAAAGTACTAAAATGAACAAAAGGAATGGAATTTGGAATAAGAGTCACTGATGGACTGCAGGATAGATGTACTAAAGGGTATTTGGAAATTCGAAATTTAAGTTCTAAAATGGTACCATTTGCTATTGTGTGAGCTAAAAACTTGAAATTTGGTTAGGAAAGTTAAATAAGGTTGTAAAGTAAGTTCGATACATGGCGATAGTTTTGTGAACTATCCTAAATAGTACTGAATTTGGAACAGTTTAGTTCAGGAAGAACGGATGAAGCTGATGGTAGGTTTGTGATAAATAGCTGATTTTTGTAATGTGTAATATAAGTACGCGAAAAATACTAAATAGTACTATATTTGGTACAACCCGATGTTGGGTGTAGGAATTGACCTGAAATCCTGGAATTTTGTATACATGTCACTGTTGGTGTTTGTCCTTAAGATATGGAGGTCGTTTTGGAAATGTCTACTATTATTGTTAATGTGTACAGCTGGAATTCCAAAATTTGATATTGAGATCTCTGTTGGTATCTGGTGGTTGTTTGGGAAATTGTTCGAAGAGTACTAAATAATACAAATTTTGGATCACTGTTGGTGTCTGGGATTGAGTGATGTAGATTGTTTTGAACATGCATACCAAATGTTACTAGATATGTTATTGGGTGAAGATAGAGAGCTGAAATTCGGAAATTTGATATTGAGGTCACTGTTGGGTCAGGGCTCACATATGGAGACGTTGAAATATTTTGGATGTAAAAAATGGATGTGGGTCCATTGGGCGATGGTTTTACTTAAATTACCTCTTTCCATAAATGGAAAACTTGAATAACATATAAAACCATGAAAGTTTAAAAATTTAGTACGATGTACGAAGTTTTGATTAAAACATTTTCTCAACCTGAACGAATTGTGAATTTTGAGAAAAGGTCTTTTACGAACTGTTGATAAACGTTTTAAAGTATCCAGCTTTTCATTTAATAACTAGAAAACTTTAAATTAAATTAGGATTTTTACTTAAAAGTTACTTACATCTCACAAAGTAAGTAGAAAAACCCAACAATACAATGATAAGTAGAAGCGTCCGTGTGATCCCATTCAAAAAATTGTTACATGTCAACTTTCACAATTCCGACGATATTGCAGCTTCTTTTTGAGGTAACTGTGTGATATAAATCGTAATCGTAAATAATTATGGCCCTTATTGCATGCGTATTACGGCTTTGGAGCGGTGAAATCGGATTGTGTTAAGATATGAAAGGTACATCTTAATTTGAAATTATTTCCACTAAATTTGAAGGAGGTAAGGTGTTTTGCTATATGTGACCTGGCGTAACAAATATCATTGCAAAGGGTGCATATTATGACCTTAAAAAGACATAAAAATATAGAATCAATTGAGACATGCATAAATATTCGAGCTATAGCTATATCAGTACAATTTGAATAATTTTCGCTGTTAATAGAAACCAGTAAAGAAAGTCATATAGTCGGGCGGGGCTGATTTTATGATACCCTACACCACTTTGTTAATTAAGTTGAGCTCCACATAACAATTAAAAGTTTTTATGGGAGAATTCAATCATACACGCTATGATTATAATTATAATTTAAAATTCAAAGGACTAAATATGACGAGGCACTTGTATCTTTTAAATTCGGACTTGTATTGCCCTTTTGGTGCAAAATTAATATGAAATCAGATAAAGATATATATGAGAGCTATATCTAAATCTGAACCGATCTCGATAAAATTTAGCAAAGGTATTTCAGAGCTGTATTTCATATATTTCCCTGAATATCGTTGTTACGGAGTGCATATTACGACTGTGGGTAATACAACAAATCGGATGAACAATATATATGGGAGCTATAGCTATATCTGAACCGATCATCACCAAATTTGGCATACTACCTTCTAGACTCAATTCGGTCGTATGTGCCAGATTCCATCCCATTTGGGCAAATATTAGACGTTTGGTGCACAATAAAAGGCAAATCGGACGAAGTTATATATGGGAGCTATATCCAAATCTGAACCGATCTCGATAAAATTTAGCAAAGGTATTTCTGAGCTACATTTGATATATTTACCCAAATATTGTTGTTACACAGTGCATATTACGACTGCGGAAGACAAAAATAACAAATCGGATGAACAATATATATGGGAGCTATAGCTATATCTGAACCGATTTCGATCAAATTTGGCATATTTAGATTCAGGCCTAATTTGGTTGTATGTCAACATTCCATACTATTCGGTCTGATATTACACGTTTGGTGCACAATAAAAGGCAATTCGGACGAAGATATATATGGGAGCTATATCTAAATTTTGACCGATTATCTCCAATTTCAATAGGGTTCGTCCTTGGGCCAAACAAATGATTTGTGCAAAATTTCATCTCAATCGCATAATAAATGCGACCTTTTTTGCATTTTGTTCACAAGAATACATGGACAGACGGACGGACAGACGGACTGACATGCATAAATCAACTCAGAAAGTGATTCTATGCAGATCATCAAAAGGAACTATGGGTCTACCTCGTTTCCTTTTGCCTGTTACAAACAAATGCACAAAGACATAATACCCTGACCACCTTGTGGTGTAGGGTATAAAAACATTGTTTTACTTTACAAAACACCGACACCAACCTCAAAGAAACAGCTACACCCCATTATATAGTCGTATTTTTCAAATATTCTCCAATTTAAAAATAAAGTATACCTTGTGTATATGCGCATTTTCATGTTGCCTTTTTCACGATTTCCTAACGTGGCTATGACATTTCTTTCCTGGTTTTGAGAATATATTTTGCGAATAGCATTGATGCAAACAATCTTTTTAATTATTTTTTGCAATCAAATTGGTTGACCTCTGATCATTAATAATAATATGTCAACAAATGTATAGCTTGTTGAAGTAATTAATTTAATATTGCACGATTTCTTCATCTTGTTGATGAGATTGTACAAGATTTGAGAGAAGGACACAGGGGCGCCCATGAAATATTGATTTTTTTATACAGCGCGGCCCTGTTAAAGCCGTTTAAAATGAGTTGCTTTTGGTAACAAAACCGTGCATAAGCCTATACTAAAAATGAAGAATATTAAAAAAACCCTTTACCCAAAAATAAAATTACCAGTAGTTTTTAATGGTATCAATTTTCTTCCTTTTCTTGGGAAATATTTAATTTATGGTTTCAAAAAGATGCCAAATGGACATCCTAAAACTAATTTCAAAATGGTCCTAAAAAAGCTGTTAATGGCGCCAAATGTTAGCAAATCTTACCAAATCGGAGAATAGGACAATTATAGTCTACAGCCAAATCTTTCATTCTGAGCAAACAAAGTTTCGGACACGTGCTATCATAGGATTCATATTCTGAAAGGTGAAACAAATTTTGTTCATTCCGTGTTTGTTTACATTATTTCTATATTATCGCGATTTCGTATTGATTTCTACTATATATTCATGAGGTCTTTCTATTTTTAGATTAACCCGCCCACACATACACACATACCATTGTAAAATGAATCATGAATTGATGTGTAAACTAAACATGCACGACACTCAGGTGATGGATTTGATGGCTTCCCATGATTTCGTACAGCTGCAGCAGCAGCCACAACAACAGCAGCCACAGCAACAACAACAACAACAACAACAACAAATGCTCAATTATACAATGACAGAAACACAAACAACACCGCCAAATGTACCACATGCCGATAATCCGGATAACAACAGATCTTCAAGGCCAATAAGACGAGCCAGTCGCAGGACGCCACAGGTATTTATGTTCGCCATGCACCAACATTTATAAGGTTACGTTCCTTGAATAAACTTTTCTTTCCTATACACCCACACACACACACACTCATACATAAAAATCAGAAGCAGAAACGTGCATCTGATGGAATGTATTCTCATATTGAGAATGGTTAATCCTTTCATATTCCATTTGCACCTTGGTTTCGATGGAGGTTAATAGTCGGATATGAATTTGAAGAGAAATTCGTAAAGATCTGTAGAATATATCAATAGCATTCAAATCCTTACCTTTGTTAGGAATATCGTCGACCATATAAATGTGTCAGTACCAATGAATATTGAATATTTTACCCAGATAGTCTTTCCCCATTTACGAGTACGACCGGATATAACAAATTGTAGTCCATCCAGATGATATCATCATCGATTGAGATGTTATTATATTACCTTCAATATCTGGATATACTTGGAACGATTTTGAGAGAATGCCTCATACTTATTAAGATTTCGGTTGTAGGAACTCCAAAACACTTATCGGATGTTACTGTTTTATGGAGCTAAAGCCGAAGTGTGAACCTAAGAACCCAAATTGTAAAATAGATATATAGTCTGCGAAATTTCAAGACATCAAGAAGTACCGCTATATGTGGGCTATACCAAATGATGGACCTTCGTTGAACAATTTCCACAATGTGATGTGACGGGATTTGACAGTCACAAGTGTTGAATGCCGCTAAGGGTCAGGGTAAAGCTGGTCGCAACATCGCTGGTCAGAATGCCTCGGATATATTCTCAGGTGCCATCGGGATCCAGTATTGTATGGAAATTTGTACGTGTGAGGAATCTTCCAAAGGTATCCCATCCCGTCCAAGCGCTAGATTGCCTTATGTCTGAGGTGATTGATATTGGAAAAGAGCCTATGTCTGCCCACGTTATTGTATATCCTTCTATAACGGAACCTCCAGATATTCCATATTATGATTTTTAGCACATTTTCAAACTCAATTGTTCAAAATTTGGCATTTAAGGATCTGAATAACTCCTGTGGCATTTAGGCATTTAACCGATCCTTCGAATATTCGCATATGCTTTGTCGCTATTAGATCGAAATAAGTGCTACGTACCAAAGTACAGATCTTGTAAAGCCATCAACACTGAATATGCCTGATGAGCCGGTTAAGCAATCGTCAAACGCATTGCATAGATGTAAGCGTGTGGTAGTGTCCCTCTGGCTTTCCTTTCCTCTGCAAATTTCAGATCATTAAGCTCATCTCGAAAGAGAAAAGAACAAATGATTCACATTTTGGAGTTCGTAACCAACCATTTGAAATAAATGGACTACAATTCAGTATTTTTTAAAGATTTTGACGTATGATCCAGGTCCCACTTTCAAACACCGCCACATAAAGTTCTTTTTAAATATAAAGCTATTTATTTAAAAACATATAAAACTAACTGGCCCGGTCCGCGTTGCCGGCCCGTACTTTTAGTCTTTAAAGCATAATAAATCACAGATCAGACTTATGTAGGCGGCACAATTTTGGAAATAAATAATGACTCCATTATAATTACTCCAATTTTGATTATAAGTAATGACTTGATTATGAGTAATGACTCCATGACTAAATATAAATTAATATTCATGGCAAAAATTATAATTACCGTCGGTTTTAGATATTTTGAATAGCCTGATCTTATTTTTCAGCTATAGGCTTTAATTTGAGTGTTAAATACCTATATGATAAAGAACATCTATAATAGCCCCATGTGAAAATTCAGCTCAATTTTTATACCATCCACCATAATATGGAGGGTATATTAATTTTGTCATTCCGTTTGTAACTCCTCGAAATACTCATGTCAGACCCAACAAAGTATATATATTCTTGATCAGCGTAAAATTCTAAGACGATATAGCCATGTCCGTTTGCCTGTCTGTCTGTCTGTTGTAATCACGCTATCTTTCGAACAAATTGAGATAGAAGGCTAAAATTTTGCACACATGTATATTTTGCCAATAGGCAGGTTAAGTTCGTAAATGGGCCATGTAGGTCCAAGTTATCATATAGCCCCCATATAACTGTACCTCCCGATATTCAGTATTTTGATGATTTTAGCGACATTATTCACCGGGGTTGTTTCAAATTTGGCATTTGAAGTTCGTAATGACTACTACAGCCTAAGACAGAAAATTATCTGTGCAGGTCCACGTCTTCGTGTAGCCCCCATATAACGGTACCCGCCGATATTCGGTATTTTGATGATTTTAGCGACATTCTTTACCGGAATCGTTTCATATTTGGTATTTGAAGTTCGTAATGGATACTAAATTCTAAGTCAAAAAATGAGCCATGTAGGTCCACGTCTTCGTATAGCCCCCATATAAGGGTACCACCCCCCAAATTCGGTATTTTAATGATTTTAACTACATTATAAACAGATTTTTCTTCAAGTTTCACATTTAAATTATTGTAATAACTTATGACAAAATATGCCTATGCAGGCCCACGTCGTCGTATAAGCACTCGGTATTCTTAAGATTTTAACAGAATTTTTGACGGATTTTATTTTTTGGAAATTGCCAAATTTGTACCAAATGGTGGAGGGTATTAAAAGTTCGGCCCGGCCGAACTTACAGCTTTTTTACTTGTTGATATTGTAAAAAGCATTCAAATGAGCTATAATTTGAAATTTGTATTTCCAACGTTTAAAATCCCGTACTGCGTGGTATTGAGTTTTGTCCACCTCATACTTGCAGGCAGAATGTTGTCAGAATAGCCAAAAAAATTACTCTTTTGCTCCGATTACCGTAAGATGGACATTAATTGTTTGTCATTTAAATTTTGCGGTGGAGATTCAATAAATCTCCAATTTTTTCGTATTTTTGTTTATAATTTCGTATTTTTGTTCATGTTTCTGCCACAATTTCCGACTGAATGAGTCCCAGATTGACATTTCGGAGTTTATTTCATATAGACGTACATCCCAAATCTACGTTCCCAACCAATATTCTCTTGGGGGTTACAAATTCAATAGAATATCAAATTTTCTTTTCTGACCACACATTGGTTGGGAAAGTGGACTTGGGGGTATACTAATCTGGGGACTATACTTAAATAAATTCCTATGAGGATAATTATCTGTAAGATGATTTTCCACCCCAGGGTTTTTTACCCCCCTCAAGACTAAGATGCGCGCTTTTCCGAAAAATAAAAATTTATAAGAAGAGGTTTTCTTCCCCCTTAGAAACAAAGATTTCAAATAAGGGCCAAAAAATGAAAAAAGTGACCAAGACCCCGAGAATACCTTAAATCATATGATGGTGATACCAAAACGTGATGATTTTTTGCAAAGATGGTTTCTTCTTAAATTATCAACATAAGCTAAAATTAGTACGAAAAATATGGTTAAAATGTAGAATATACTTGAAATCATGTTGTTCCGTTATCAGGGGTTATGATCCATATCATGACCTGGCAAAGCGATTAAAGGTATCTTGAATGTTTAGGTAGAATTTCTATTTTGCGTTCTTTATAGTCGGTATTTGACTGATTGCAGTCCCAATGTATTTTGCATTTTGTGTTCTCATTTGACAATTTATTGAAAGAAGTAGGTCCACTTTTTGAAATTAGCCCCATAACGCTTCTTTGATCATTTTTGTTTGTTAAAATGTGTTCGCATCTTCCATCTGAACCACGATGTAGGTCCTGAAGTAGAAAGCATTTAACATCGGATTGCGCCCCCATTTCATTTTTAATATTATTCATTCAGAATTCAAACCAATAAAAAATGTACACTTCAATATAGAAAAAAGAAAAAGAATCTTCAACTGGTTCGCTGATTTTTTTTGCGGCATATTTTTAAAGGTCCTTACGAAATTTGTCGGTAGAATGTACTATTATTTTGAAATTTGATTCCATTGAAAAATTGATTTTTAGAATTTTCATATAAAGCGACAACGGATAAAATTGTTATTTATAGATTTTATGTATTTATTGGGTATTACGAATAAATACATAAAATCTATAAATAACAGTTTTATCCGTTGTGGCTTTATACTACCCAATCATATTAGAATTCAAAAAAAAAAAAAAACATTCGAAAATAGTAAGTCAAAATGGAAAAAAATATGCAATACTAGCTGGCCCCGTCCGCGTTGCCGGCCAGTACTTTTAGTCTTTAGCGCATATTTTCTAAAGCATAATAGAGCATAGACTTATGTGAGCGAGACAATTTTTATTATAAGTAAAACAAATCCATAGTAATTTCTAAATAGAAAAAACATTCATGGCAAAAATTATAAAAGATAACCACTTACCGTCGCTTTTAGATAGTTTGAATAGCTTGATCTTATTATTCATCCGTAGGCTTTAATTGAGTGTTAAAAACCTATATGATATAGAACATCTATAATAATCCCATGTTGAAACTTAATTTTTGGTATTGTAAAGAGCTTAGCGAAATTTTCCATTCAAATGAGCTGTAATTTGGGATTTGTATTTACAACGTTTAGAATACCGCGCTGTGTGGAATTAGTCCACCTCCACCTTAGTCCACCTCATAATTAGGGCCAGAATGATTTCAGAATAGTCAAAGATAATTACTCTTCTACAACCATTACCGTAAGAATGGAATTTACTTATTTTTGTGCATTGGAGATCCCATAAAGTTCATATAGTATAATTCAAAGACGATCAAAGTAATTACGAATATTAAATCATTGATGGTTAAAACCAAAAAGTAATCATTTTTTGCGAGGATTGTTCCTTCTCAAATTACCAACCTTTGCTGAAATGAGTATTCAAAGTATGGTTAAAATGTAAACTATACTCGAAATCGGGCTATACCCTTAACCGAAGGTCATATATCATGACCTGCAAAAGCGATTTAAAATATTATGAAAGTTAAGGAAGAATTTCTGGAAGGATATAAATCCTTTTTTACTAAATGTTCAATTCGCTCTACCATATTCACTGACTGCAGACGCAATGAATTGCATTTTTTGAGTTATCGTTCTCACATCAAAGAGATTGTTTTTCATTCACATTTTTATTGGCATATTTTACCGCGATTTTTGGCAGGATAACGTTCCAAAATTGTATGAATTATCAAAATCCGTCAAGCCTTTCTTTAGTTATAAGCGTAGTATCTAACATAACTTTCTTTTATATTGTGAAAATAATTAGTTATTTTGTTTACAAAAAATCTACTGAATTCAATATGATAAGCCAAATTAAAAAAAAAATCATAAATTATACAAAATTGATAAAAAAAGCAAACTGAAAAAAGAAAAAAAATCTTCACCTTGTTCGATGATTTTTTACAGTCGAAGTTTAAAGGTCCTTGCGAAGTTTGTCGATAGAATGTACTATTATTATAAAATTCGATTCCCTAGAAATGTTTTTTCGAATTTTTCCCTATTTGAGAATTTTTGCAATGAGATCTCTTTTTTCGTGATTTTTTAGCGATTTTGAAAAAGTAATTATCTTTTAACTTTGGTGTGATCGCGTTAAATTATTCCGATATAATCTATCCCGTTTCGCCACCACATAAATCGGTACTACAATTCCATGTAACCCGCCTTCAATTTCTGAAATCAAGTCAATTAAATAAATTGGTTTTAATATTCGAATTCAAAAATAAAATATAAAAAACACTACAAATGTACATTAGAAAAAGTAAGTCAAAATGAAAAAAAAATCATACAAAAAAAAACATTACTATTGTACATTTCAAAAGTCAAAATGAAAATGTTAATATATCACATTTTTACGCGATTTTTTTAGATTTTATCCTTCTTGGCCAGGAGACAATTCCAAATTTGTATGAACCGTTAAAATCAGTCCAGCGGTTCTTAAGTTATAAGCGTAGTAACTAACACAATTTTCTTTCTTTATAGATGATATATTTAGATTAAAAAGTAGGCGTGGTTAGTTCCTCAGCCCCCAAATAAATGCTTAGGGTTGGATGGGAAGTCAACAGTATCTCGTGTAATAATTTTCAACCCGATATCTCCATAATTTTGGCACATATATAAGGATTTTAGATAAATCGAAAAGTGGGCGTGGTCAATATTTTTTTCTTTAAAAACCTAACTCGGGGTATGACGAACGTTTGTACAAAAAATTATGCAAATCGGTCCAGCCGTTCTCAACTGATTCCGTTACCAACAAACAACAATTGATTTTTAAAAATATAGATAAAACATTGCTATTGTATATTTTAAAAGTCAAAATGAAAATGTTCAAATTTCACATTTTTCCGAATTTTTCTAAATCGTTAAAATCAGACCGACGGTCTTTATGTTATAAGAGTAGTAACTAACACAACTTTCTTTTACATATAGAGAGTCAGATTTAAAAGTAGGCGCGTTTCTCAGCCCCTAAATAAGTACTTAGGGTTGGATGGAAAGCCAACAGCATCTCGTGTAATAATTCTCAAACCGATATCTTCACTATTTTGGCAAATATAAAGATTTTAGATAAGTCGTAATAGTGGGCGTAAAAGGAGACGTGGTCAATATTGTTTTCTTTAAAAACCTAACTCGGGGTATGACGAACGTTTGTACAAAAAATTATGCAAATCGGTCCAACCGTTTCCAACTGATTCTGTTACCAACAAACAACAATTGATTTTTATATATATAGAAGAAGAAGAATAAAGTTATCTTTTAAAATTTTTTACGAACTCAGAATATGCAAAATTTTGGCGAAAATTGAATTAATTTTTGTACCAATACCGTTGAGTAGAGATCATAATGTCATTCCAATGACGAAGTGCCAATCTGGAATATGTCCTATTTGTCACATTTTATAAATAACATTTCTACTAACACACACACACACACACACGTTTTTAGACACCACAATCGAAAATAGTTACAAACAATTATTATTTTGTTTTATTAATAAACAGGGGTACTTACGCAGATTATAATTCATATTTGTTATCGCCATTTTTATACCCTACACCACAAGGTGGTCAGGGTATTATGTCTTTGTGCATTTGTTTGTAACAGGCAGAAGGAAACGAGATAGACCCATAGTTCCTTTTGATGATCTGCATAGAATCACATTCTGAGTCGATTTATGCATGTCCGTCCGTCCGTCTGTCCGTCCGTCCGTCTGTCCGTCCGTCTGTCCGTCCGTCCGTCTGTCCATGTATTTTTGTAAACAAAGTACAGGCCGCATTTATTGCCCGATCCAGATGAAATTTTGCACAGATCATTTGTTTGGCCCAAGGACGAACCCTATTGAAATTGGAAATAATCGGTCAAAATTTAGATATAGCTCCCATATATATCTTCGTCCGATTTGCTTTTTATTGTGCACCAAACGTGTAATATCAGCCCGAATTGTATGGAATTTTGCATATACACCCAAAATAGGTCTGAAAATATGTATGCCAAATTTGATTGAAATCGGTTCAGGTATAGCTATAGCTTCCATATATATTGTTCATCCGATTTGTTATTTTTGTCCACCGCCGTCGTAATATGCACGCTGCAACAAAAATATTTGGGGAAATATATCAAAAGCAGCTCAGAAATACACTTGCTAAATTTTATCGGGATCGGTTCAGATTTGGATATAGCTCCCACATATAACTTCGTCCGATTTACCTTTTATTGTGCACCAAACGTCTAATATTTGTCCAAATGGGATGGAATTTGACACTTACGACCGAATCGGGTCTAGAAGGTAGTATGTCAAATTTGGTGAAGATCGGTTCAGATATAGCTATAGCTCCCATATATATTGTTCATCCGATTTGTCATATTTGTTACCCACAGCCGTAGTATGCACTCCGTAACAACGATATTCAGGGAAATATATCAAATACAGCTCAGAAATATCTTTGCCAAATTTTATCGAGATCGGTTCAGATTTGGATATAGCTCCCATATATATCTTTATCCGATTTCAAATTAATTGTGCACCAAATGGGCAATACAATTCCGAATTTAAAAGATACAAATGCTTCGGCATATTTAGTCCTTTGAACTTTAAATTATAATTATAATCATAGCGTGTATGTTTTAATTCTCCCATAAAAACTTTTATTTGTTATGTGGAGCTCTACTAAATTAGCAAAGTGGTGTAGGGTATCATAAAGTCGGCCCCGCCCGACTTTAAGACTTTCTTTACTGGTTCTGATTGGGGTTATCTTTGCGATTTGAGTCACTGTTTTTGTGAAATGTTTGTGTGTATGTGTGTGTGTGTGTGTGTGTGTGTATAATTGTATGCGCAATTTTTTTATATTTCAATTTTAGGTTACTATTTATAACGAAAGTTTACAATTTACTTTATTCTTCTCCCATTTTCTTTGTGTTTTCTTTCGTAATTTGTCTTTACGTAAAATGTCTTTACATGGCTGCGTGGATGTTGCGGTTACTGTTTTTCTTTTCGCTCCAAAACAGTTAAGCAATAATTATGATATGGAAATGACAGATTCAAGTTCGCAAAGCGATGACACAAGTGGTGGGGGAGGCAGCAGCAATGGCGGCGGCAGCGGGGCACGACCTTCAAGTCGTGGCAGAAACTCATCGGGTACGAATTCGAATCGCCGCAGGAAGGGCACACTCAATGCAAAGGAACGTAACTTGCGTCGCCTGGAGTCCAACGAAAGGGAACGCATGCGAATGCACAGTTTAAACGACGCATTTCAGGTATGTCATTTGTAATTGCTGCACCGGCAGTTACTAACTTGTTTTTATATCTTAAGAGTTATTATGCGTATGCGTAGGTACCTAACAATGTACGTGAAATATTAATAGAAAAATATGAATGTTTGTAAAAGAAAAAAAGGTAAAAACCTTGGCTAGGTCTCATTGCTATGTCGGTGTGGTGGAGGTTCCTTGCAAAGTGGACCGAGCCACTCCCAACTGCTGAGAACGGCGTTTTTAGGATGTTCTTGGGGACCTCTCAACACTGGCTCGTACGGCAGAGATATTCTGGGCCGATCGCCTTGGTCGACTTTTATATGGCCTCTTCGGATTAGAAAGAGCCTTACCAGTCGAAAATTTTTCGTATAAACGTATAATGGTGTTCTTAGAAGGCGCACTTCTCACATTTTTTAATGTTTTAAAAGCACGTTGAGTTTTCACAATTGACTTCTTCTGTTGAATGTACATTTCAGAGCGCTCGCTTGGCGTGTATTGGTTCATGGTAAAAATCTGCTTGGACTGACACTTCAAACGCGGTATGTCATTAAGCGATGTGACATCTCTGTCAAAAGTTATGGCGTTGCCAGATGGGTCCGTCGAATATGTGCAACCCTGTAGAGACAATATTGTTCCTGCAATTGTGTCATGATTATAACTACCCGAAAACATTCCGCAGAAGATATTCCATATCTTGTTTTGTTTATTACAAAAGCAAATCTGATTGGAAAAAAATCGAACCATGTTGTGCCATGATAAATTGAAATAAGTTAAAAATGTGTGGAGGATACTTGAGAAAGTTTTAGAATAGAATAACAGTAGACGGAATTATTTACATAGAAGACTAGTTAAATTTTATCGATCAACGTCCAGTGGTGGTAAAAGCCAATTAAATGTACAATTCAATGTCAAATGTGAGCTACCCGTAACAAATCAACGTTTATATTGGGATTTTTTGTGAAGTGGACTATACCAACTATGAACCTCTTTTAAATGCGTATTATGAATTTAGAGCAGTTATAATTTGGAATGGAGAGAAACCAATATATGGGAGATATATCCAACTCGGGGCAATTGTAAAATAAGAATGCTATATATATATAGTTTTTCGAGTTTCACATATCCTATCCAAATTGAGCCGTATTTACATGGTTTGGTGCACAATAACCGTCAAATAGGTTGAAGATACGCATGGAAGCTAAATTTAGCAGAGGTATTTCTGAGCTGTATCTGATATCTGGTACCAGATATTATTGTTATGGAGTGCGTATTATGAATGTTGGAGATTTAAAAACCAAATCGAAAAGAAAAACCGTAAAATAGTATCAGTCGGTTTTGCCGACAGATGTATACCCCACGCCATTTCTTATGATTTTGAAACTGTTGACTCTTTATCGGGGAGATTCCGAAGCAGTTGGACAATATTGACCAATTCGTATCTGACCTAAGACCGATATAAATATTACAACGTGACTGATTTGGACTATATCGACAACTTCTTGTATTTTATATGAGATATGTAAATGTGGAAATATGTGTGTGTGGTTACTTCATCTATGTGCAAAACTTGAAGGAAATCATGTGAAATTCCTAAATTCCGATAAATTAAATATTCATATCAAATATCTGGTTAAGGGAAATATTTAGATATAGCAAGATGTAAAGAATGGCCGACTTGTTTCGTAAGTTATGACAGATATAAGTATTGCAAATTGTGACCCTTTTAGAAAATATTGGCAAAAGTGATATCGGCCGAAATGGATGTTCAGGATGTGTTCAGGTTTATCTGGCTTCGGAATAATAATTACCTCGGCTGTTTTCCAATTTGTTGGAAAGTCGCAAGATAGCGTTATATATATATTTGTTAAAAAAATTAAGCATTTGCGGGAAAGATTTTTAACGACATTAGCATCTATAATATCATGCCCTGGTGGTTTTTCTTTGTTTAAGCTTTTAATCTCAGCTACTACTTCATTCAATGATATGTGTTTTTTTTGGCCGATCCATTTGACAAGCTGAATCCAAATATAGAAATGTTTCATTGTAATCTTCACTATTAACGGAATCGAAGGGTTTAAAAATGTCGGTAAGATGTCTTGCAAAAGGATCTGCTAAGCTTTTAGGTGATTTACACCATGTTCCGTCAGCGTTCTTGATTACGAAATTTCTCTTGACAGGTCTTCTTAAATATTTAATAGATTTTCACAATAAGTGTTCATCATACTTTGAATTATTTATCGCTTCCAGAAAAGTATCAGTGGCATCATTCTTAAAATCAAAAAGAAATTTTTTTCAACAGTCAGATTCAACAGAACAGATTTTTATAAAATGTGGGAGTAGTGTTTCCTAAACACCAAATCGGATGAAAGTTATATATGGAACGTAAAGCTAAAACTGAGCCCATGCACGGATATCCGAATACCACACATAGGACGTACAATAAAATTGGAATCGGACGAAGATATAGATTGAAGGTATAATTTGACTGCTTATCACCAGTAGCGTTCGTCCTTAGGTAAAAAAAGGATTTAAGGAAAATTTCATTTCAATTGGACCATAAATGCGATCTGCACTTTTTTTAACAGAATACATGGACAGACGGACGGGCATACATGATATGATTCCATGGAGATCATCAAAAGGAATTATGGGTCTATTTCGTTTCCTACTGCATGTTACAATCAAATGCACAAAGACATAGTACCCTGTCTCACAGTGTGCCGCAGGATATAAAAACAAAATAAACCGATAAATGGGCAATAAACTGTTAACCTACCAAATATAAGACCATTTCCTACCCGTGACGAACAATTGCTAACAATATCTGTGGAGTAGGGTAATATAAGACATAAGCCTTACAAATAAAAAATAAATAAAATTTGTTGGACGCTTTGGCTTATCTTGCAGCCATTGAACACTGTCACATTCTGAGTTCATTACAATCAAGTATAGGTCTTATTTCAGTCCAAATAGGTCAGTCAATAAAGTTGTGAACATTTTTAATTTTTGAGTGACAAATCGCTTCAGAATCAGATCAAGTTTATATATACTTGGTTAATTTTCTCCACTAAAAAGCACGCCGTTCTTAGTTGAAGAGCTGGGCTTTTGAGTAAACTAACCATTTGCAGTAACATTTGGTAACGATTGTTGCCGAATACCATACCATAGACATAGACGAGCTTGATTATGGGCAGAGCGTTACACAGTATTGTGTATCGGCAAATGTAAGTAGAGCTCAGTCACAGAAAGTGCAAGATTGTTTGTTACGTGCAAAAATTTATTTATTTTATCGAAAAACTACCGAAACTTGTAGGCAAATTTAGGCAAAAAATATGACTTCGGTTAAAAAACTTTACACTAGACAAATTTTCCGGGTAAAATATAAAGCATGATAACCAGAACTGTCATTTAAGTTTTAAATTTTTACTAATTGTCCCCTCCCATAGCATCCAGTCAAAGAAATTTCCTGGGAGTGAATTTCACATTTCTCTCTTTTACTTCTCATCCAAAATAACACGATTAAGCAGCATACGAGCCCATTCTGTCAGTTTTGGGCCACAGTGTCGTATAGAATACACACGTTTATAACAATAATACGCACCAGTGCGCTAAGGTCCCAGAATAATTGTTTATTAAACAAACAAACACAAATTGATAAATAAAATGTATTTATATATTTGGTTGGTTGTTTATTTATTTAATAATGTGTCGTTTATTATTAATAACTTATTAAACTATTAACAACAACTTATTCCAAATTATAAATAGACATACAATACATAAAGATGGGACATTTCATTTTAACTTTGAATCAATAGATCGCGTTGGTAGTAAAAAAAAATAAATTTTAGAGCTGACACTTTTATAGGATTTTCGTTGATTTTTATCGGTTCAATGTAGCGGGACTACCTAGTGTAGAATAAGAATAGGATATGAAAATGTGGTGAATTTTCAATTGCTGCATGTGGAATGTTGGAGTTAGATTGCGGGATATAATCTTAACTCACCCTGATAAGCAAGTGCAGCATGTTTGCTTGCCACATGTGAGATAGCTATGCGTGTTTTTGATCTCCGCCTAAGATTTATGGCGGCATGGTGCATAGATATGTGTACAAGTAGTTCTTAAGAAATATTTTTATACCCTCCAACATAGTATGGAGGTTATATTAAGTTTGTCATTCCGTTTGTTAAACCTCGAAATATACATTTTAGACCCCACCAAGTATTTATATTCTATATATATATTCTTGATCAGCATTAAATTCTATGTTGATTTAGCAATGTCCGTCCGTCTGTGGAAATCACTCTAGCTTCCGAACGACATAAAGTAGGTTGATAAAATTTTACTCATATGTATATTATGTCTGCAGGACTTTTGGTATTGAAAATGTGTCATGTAAGTCCACGTTTTGGTATAGCCCCCATATAATGGTACCTCCCTATTTTCGGTATTTTGATGATTTTAGCGACATTAATCACCAGAATTTTTTCAAATTTCATATTTGAAGTTCGTAATTGATACTACAGCCTAAGACAGAAATTTGTCTGTGCAGGTGCACGTCATTTTATAGCCCCATATAACGGTACCTTCCGATATTCGGTATTTTGATGATTTTAGCGACATTATACACCGGAATTGTTTCAAATTTGGTATTTGAAGTTCGTAATGGATACTGCAGCCTATGACAAACAATTTGCTGTGCAGGCCCACGTCTTCCTATATAGCGGTAACTGCCGATATTCGGTATTTTGATGTTTTTGGCGACATTATTCGCGGGATTTCTTTTAAATTTGGTATTTGAAGTTCATAATGGATACTACAGCCTATGACAGAAAATTGTCTGTACAGGTCCACGTTTTGGTATAGCCCCCTTATAATAGTACCTCCCTATATTCGGTATTTTGATGATTTTATCTACATTATTCACCGATTTTTTTTTCCAAGTTTCGGATTTGAATATTGTAATGGCTTATGACAGAACTTGCCTGTGCAGGTCCACGTCGTC